TATAGAAATGGGTTAATTTAAGATAAAAGAACAGTTAGCAAGAAGCCTGCCATGGCCATACAGTTTGTAAGCAATATAAGTCTCTGTGTTTACTTGGTCGGGTTTGAGCGGCTGTGGGACTGGTGGGTGACAAAGATTTGTCCTGACTGTGGGCAAAGCAGGAAAACTCTAGCTACAGCCCTGTGCAGCCAGCCGCTCTCACTACCGTGGACAAAGGCCAACACAGTGGCCATGCTTTCCTCACCATGTTGGACCGGCCGTATGTTCTTACACTGCGATCCAAAATAAATCCTTCCGTTAGACTGCTTCTGTAGCCATTCTGCCAGAGGATCACAAAAATAACTACTACATCCCCCTTCTGCTCTTTTGTTATGTAGTATTCTGAGACCATGTCTTACATGGCAGTAGCCCAGGCTGGCCTGAAGCTCCTGTCCCAGCCTGTGAGTGGTAGGATTACAGTATGAGGAACCATGCTTGACTTCACAGTCTACTCTGGCCCTTCCTATTTTCCTTACTCCGTTATGTTTCTCCATAGCTCTTTGTCTGACCTACAATCGGTTGATTATCTTCCTCCATGACAAAAACCACAAGACTGGGACTTTTTGTTCCCGAAAAAACCTGCTTGGCATGCCTTAGATGATTACCAAATATTTCAACTTGAGTGAATAGATACTTAAGTGTTCTAAAAGCACTGAGAGTGGTGGCGCACGCCTTTAATCCCAGCACTCCAGAGGTTGAGGCAGGCAGATCTCTGTGAGTTTGAGGCCAGCCTGCTCTACCTAATGAGTTCCAGGCCAACCAGAGCTACACAATAAGACCTTGCCTCAAAAAGCTATGAAAGCTACCCAAGCCAAGGTAGACACTTGAGGTGATTATAAACAGAAAAACTATATTTCAAAAGAAAGCTATAGTATACCTTTTATTCAATTATAGCTCTTCCTCATTCTCAAGTTATTTTAATTCAACTAGTTTCTTCTAATATTTGTTTACAAGTCTTACCCCCGTTGTCATCTGGTTGGTTAAGTTGGTTAACTTCAGCCTTGAGTTCATAATTGGAAACCATTATACAAACCAGGATTGTCAATATGCTGTTACAATGTCCCTGTACTATTCCTTTTTAAGATGGGTACCTCTTACCTGTCAAATTTCTATAGAAATACAACTAACTGAATAATGTTGGCCCAGTGCTTTGAAATGATGTCAGCACCTATGGAGCAGTGAAACTGAACTTAATAATAAGCTTTAGGCAGCCATAGACTGAGGGCCACTTCTTCTAAACCTATTGCTCAGAAATGGCTAAGAGAATCGTCATGGGCTAGAGACATGGCTCAGTGGTTAAAAATGGACCTGGGTGTGATTCCCAGCACCCATATGGCTGCTCACACCTTGTCTGTGACTCCAGTCTCCAGTTCCAGGGGATCTGATGCTCTCTCTGGCTTCTGTAGGCACAAGGCACATTAGAGATGCACAAGTATACATGCAGATAAAAACACCCATACACATTACAAAAAAATCCTCTTAAAAAGGGTCTTGATGGGGCTGGAGAAATGGCTCAGCAGTTAAGAGCACTGGCTGCTCTTCCAGAGGTCCTGAGTTCAATTCCCAGCAACCACATGGTGGCTCACAACCATCTGTAACAAAATCTGGCACCCTCTGCAGAATAAAAAAAAAAAAGGGGGGGGGGGTCTTGAGCCAGGCGTTGGTGGCACACGCCTTTAATCCCAGCACTCAGGAGGCAGATCCAGGCAGATCTCTGTGAGTTCAAGGCTAGCCTGCTCTACAGAGTGAGTTCCAGGAAAGGCACCAAAACTACACAGAGAAACCCTGTCTCTAAAAACAAACAAACAAACAAAAAAAGGTCTTGACCAAGCTGATGGTGTACACCTTTAATCCCAGCACTCAGAAGGCATAGACACATGTGTCCCTGAGTTCAAGGCCAGCCTGGTCTATCAGTGGGTTCCAGAACAGCCAGGACTACAGTGAGACCCTGTCTACATTATGTGTAGACACAGAATTACACATAATACCCTGTCAGATGCATTATGGGAAGAGCTAAAAAAACAAACAAACAAACACCAAAGAACCCACTTAATTATAAGTAACAGGATTAGTGATACTTTTGGGAAAAGATCTTGATCAAAAAGGAAGACTATACCAGGCATGCTGGCATATATACCTGTAATCCTAGAGGCAAGAAGATCAGGAGTTTAAGGCCAGCTTCAGCTATAAAGTAAGTTAGATCAGCCTGGCTATACGAGACCTTGTTTCAAACACAGCAAGGAAACTTGGCTGGGAAGTGATGATGTACACGTTTAATCTCCGCACTCAGGAGGCAGAAACAGGGGCAGAGTTCAAGGCCAGTCCGGTCCACACATCAAATTCCACAACAACTAGGGCTACATAGTGGAACCCAGTCTTTGTTTTTCAAGACAAGGTTTCTCTGTGTCGCCCTGGCTGTCCTAGAACTCGCTCTGTAGATCAGGCTGGCCTCGAACTCAGAGATCTGCTTGCCTCTGCCTCCCTCTGCTGGGATAAAAGGTGTGCACCACCACGTCTGGCTTAAGACTCAGTCTTTTAAAAAAAGGAAAAAAAGTAGGGAAGTATTACAAAAGCTGTTGATGAGTTGGAGCCTGGAGGTCCTGGCAAAAAAGGGATCTCCTGCTTGTATGCCTAGGCCAAGAACAACTGCAAAGATCTCCTTGAAGGTCCTTTGAGTATGTGCCTATGGTGTTGAAGCAGGTTAGCACAGGGAGTCTTCACGTGCTCGGACTGATTTGGTTTTATGTTCACCCCATCTCCTGTAATAATGCATGGGTAGTTTAGCTCCTCCATTTGAAGGTATTAATGCACACACACACACACACACACACACACACACACACACACACACACACTTCTAAACAATACACCTAACAACTGCAGAATTCCTCAGACCCCCACCTCTATCAGGCCATACCCCTCACTAACATTAGTGTACATTTCTCCACGCCTAACAACAATCAAGTGTGTTCTTAGTGTATCTGGATAGGAAAGAAATAGGCCAGGCCAGCCTAAATTGGTTTCGGGTGTGTGATAGCTAGAGAAACTCATTTTATGCTAGGCATCTGTGGTTGTTTGAATGTAATGTAATTGGCCCCCATAATCTCATAGAGAGTGGGACTATTAAGGGAGTGTGGCTTTGTTGGAGTGGGCATGGCTTTGTTGGAGAAAGTGTGTCACTGTGGGGGCGGGCTCTGAGGTTTCCTATGCTCAGGATACTGCCCAATGTTTCAGTCAACTTCTTGTTGCCTTGGAGGTGCAGGACTCTTAGCTACTTCTCTAGCACCATGTCTGTCTGCACAGCGCCATGATCCCTGCCATGATGATAATGGACTGAACCTCTGAAACTGTAAGCAAGCTACCCCAATTAAACATTTATCTTTATAAGAGTTGCTGTGTGAAAAACAAAAGTTGCTGTGGTCATGGAGTCTCCACAGCAATAGAAACCCTAAGACAGCATCCATCTTGGTTCCCATTAGACATTTGTCTCTGACTCCAGTCCCTGAAAACTAAGTTCCCAGTAACCCTGATTCAATGACCCCCACCCAAAAATGTACAGCCGTGACCATCTACTTGTTATGTGACTGGTTTTTTGGCTTTTGTAACTTGCTTACATAGATACCTGAAGATTGTTTTGGGTCACTTAACTTGGCAGAACAGACCAGTTTTTCTTGCTTACATTGATATTGAAGGTCTTCTTGTGGTTTTCCTCTTTAAAAACCCTTCCCTCATCCCTCTCTTAAAGCAATCTCAAATTTGGCTCAGATTTTTTTTTGTCCTGCTAGCGGCTAATCAATAAATCTTTAATTATAATTAGATTGAGTATATATATTTCCCCCCTCAGGGATCACAAACTCTGTAACAGGTGCTTGAACAGTAAGGTAAACTGCATCCTTCAAGTGAACTGTTAGAGAGAATCTCCTATTTATCATCTCCCCCCCCCTTAAGTTGTAGGAGTTTACTTTAAATAACCTACAGTTGATTAAAAGGGAATTCATGATAAAAATAGAAGACACTTGAGGAAAGATGAGGGAATGGACTCTGCGAACACACTAAACTAACAATGCTTCCTCTAAAACTAGTGATTATAGCAAAAATGTCTTCATATTAAAATTTTGCTTTTTATGTTTTTTTTTCAATTTTTTACACAATTACAAAAGAAAAATAAAAGCCCTAAAATCTTGGTTATTTTTCTTTTTTTGTTTCTTTGGGGTTTGGTTTTTTAAATTTTTTTTTGACCAAATGCTCGTTTTCCTCTAAATTTTTGACCTGTGGAAGTTTTTATACAATAAAGTCTTTCAAATGAAAGACTGGGGTTTCCAAAGAAAAAGATGGATCTCTTAAAGGGTACAAAGAGTGCTGAGAACAAAGGATGATGGGAAAACAGTTTCAGTCACTGATTATTTCATATCTTTAGACTCACTCACCCTTCATCCCTCCCCAACCCCAAGCTACACGATCTTTAAGATCAAGAAGAAGGCTTAAATACTTTAAAATAATTAAAAAGAAATAAAAATTCACATTTAAAAGGGAACACTCAAGTCAGGAAATATTTTCCCATCATGCTTTTCTGTGAATAGGTGTCTGAACCAAACACTGCCGATGTCACACTTGCTTCAAGTTTAATGAAAACTGATTCCCATGACGATAGAGTGACAACTCTAATAGGTGCACTGGGTTTTTGTTTTGTTCTACTTAACTTTAAATTCCTGAAATAGGGGAGAGGAGGGAATTTAGGAATCGTTTCTATTAAAATATAGAAGTCATTGCAAAACCCTAACTGTATAAACGCACCAATATAATCAGACTTCATGTACAGTAGATGAGAGAATCCAAACATTGCAGCAAAACTGAATTTGTCTGGCAGGATGCTGACAAATTCCCATCCACTTGCTCTCGAAAATAAAAACAAAATTCAAAACAAATCAAACAGCTAGAATTTTGGTATCTGAAATATTTTTAAATCAGTTGTCCATAGGACAAGTGGTTCTCTCCCCCTCATAACATCTCTAGGTCCATCTTTTTGCAAAGATGTTGGTTTGTTAAGACGTGTGGCCTCTCCCTCAGGCATGAGGGCAAGTGAGGCTCAGTTTATCCATCTTCCTCAAACCACACTGTCCCTTTTCACAGAACCCCTGGCAAGACTGGTCAAAACTCGTAGTCCTCATCGGTCATATCAATGGCCCAAGCAAACTTCTCCCTCTGGGTTTTGCTGTAAATCTTCTCAATTGGGACCCCCGCCCCCACTTCTTGCACCAAGCCACTGTGATCCTAGGGTCCAGATAATTGAGTTCGGAGGTTCCCAAGGCAATTTGTTTATTCTCCTCCGGATCTGTGGCTTGAACTCCCAGCTTCATCAGCTGCTCTTCTAGTCTCTGTACAGCCTTCTTTTTTGACTCTACTACCTTCTTGGTCTTTGCATCCTTCATGACTTTGGCATCAGCCTTAGCACTTTTCAGGTCCCTTCCAGCATCTGCTAATTGATCTTTCTCGGCATCAACCTTAGACTGCAAGTTCATCATTGACTTCTCAAAGGTCTTTGGTGGTGCCCTCTGGTGGTTACAAAGAATTGCAACAACTCGATTGGCATGATTATATGATAGAATCTTTGCTGGTACATTCTCATCAGGGGCTGTGAGCTCTTTAAGCTGCTGCTGTAGCGTGATGGAGGCATTGTACGTATGGAACACCTTGGCAGTCAAGCCCTCCATGAGATCCTGAAGATGCTTATTTAGAATACCAATATTAAGTCGATCAAAAAGATCATCCTCAGGCTGCTTGTTCTCCATAAATTATCATCTTATGTATATGCATAATTGGTATGCCTATGATTAAAATCAGATGCATTATGGGAAGGAACATGCACAGTAGAAAAATGATTATATGACCTCATCGATTGGTCAAAACCAAGAAACAGGTCAGGTGTGGTGGCACATGCCTTTAACAGGTGGATCTCCAAGTTCCAGCCCAGCCTGGTCTAATACTCATCTCTAGGTCAGCCAGGGCTACACAGAACATCTTGTCTCAGAGGAAGAGAGTGCCTACCCCTACTATACTCCTTCTAATCAAACATAACTGCTCCTGAATCCCCAAATGGTCATTTAACAGTATTTGGGGCCTCTGAGTAGGGAAGCTGCCGATGGCTGAGAGAGTAAATGACTTATAAGGCAGAGTGAACTCTCTGTAGCTGGCAGGAACGGGCCAGCACACTGTCTTCAGCTGTGTTCACTGTTCCTGTGGACATTACTGAGTGTTTGCCGAGCACTGCAGATGCTGAGAAGGACTGCTCAGATGTCTACGGGGGTTTGGATTGTCCCTTGTTATTTTAGCAATATTTGCTGGTCCTCAGTGACATGTTAGTCTCTGCACTAAATGATGGAGCAGCACAGGGAACCGAGGCGTGGTGTGGTGGTCCTCATGGGAAGGTGTAGAGGGACGGAGGCAGATATCAATGCCCTATTCAGACCTGGTGCAGTAGGGCATTCTGTAAATAACAATGGGCCACACTAGTATTAGAAACAATATGTCCACAAATTTAACTTTCTGTGCCTAGTATTAAGTATGAATCCCCCCCCCCTTTTTTTTCCTGTTCTCTTGGCGTTCAGGATCAAACACTAGATCTCACACATGCAACGCGGCTGACTACCACTAACCTAGACCACCAGCACCAATCAACCTTTTTTTCAGGGCTGGAGAGATGTGTCAGTGGTTAAGAGCACTGGCTGCTCTTTCAGAGGATCCGAGTTCAGTTCCCAGCACCCACTTGGCAGCTCACAACTGTCTGTAACTAAATTTTAGTGGATCTAACTCCCTCACACAGATGTACATGCAGGTCAAACACCAGTGTACATAAAAGGAAAAAAAAGGCAGTTCCTTTTCATAAAAAAAGTTTTTGTTTTTTTTTGTTTTTTTTTTTTTTTTTTTTCAGTGCTGGAGATCAAACCTCGGGCCTTAGGTATACTTGGCAAGCACTACCACTGAGCAGCACCCCTGACTCCTAAATCCCTTTTTACCTGTATTTTATAATAACTCACAAGCAACTGGGCTTAGAAACCATATTAGTCTCATCATCTTTAAAACGTGTTTTAGCCACTGTGATAGCTCAATGAGAAAAGGCAATTGCTACCCTACAACACAAGCCTGATGACTTGACTTGGATTCCTGGAATCCACATAAAGATGGATGGTGAAGCCAGGCGGTGGTGGCACACGCCTTTAATCCCAGCACTCGGGAGGCAGAGCCAGGCAGATCTCTGTGAGTTCGAGGCCAGCCTGGGCTACCAAGTGAGCTCCAGGAAAAGCTATGCAGAGAAACCCTGTCTCGAAAAACAAAAAAACCAAAAAAAAAAAAAAAAATGATGGTGAAAAGTGACTATAAAGAGTTGTTCTCTGACCTCAGCACATGTGCCATGGCATGCAAGGTTCCACTCATACTCATACATATACTCATTTAAAATGAGTGTGTGGGTAAATGTGCCTGAATGGAGTGGCCTGAGCAGGACATAAGGTGTCTTCTTTGAGCCTCTCTTCCTTGAGACTGTTATGGAATAATCTTTTTGTACACTGTGAAGATGTGTCTTTGCCAAGGTGCCTTCTGATTGGTTTAATGAAAGAGCTGACTGGCTGGTAGCTGGGCAGGGTATAGGCAGGACAGCCAGACAGAAGACACTGGGAGGAAGAAGGGTAGAGTCTGGGGAGTCGAGAGCAGACACAGAGGGAAACAAGATGAACATGCAGTGTTGAAAGAAGGTGCAGCCATGTGGCAGAGCATAGATAAGAAATATGGGCTAATTTAAAATGTAAGAGTTGACTAGTAACCAGCCTGAGCTATCAGCCAAACATTTATAACTAGTAATAAGTCTTTGGGTGGTTACTTGGGAGTGGCTGCCAAGACACAGAGAAACTCCACCTACATGAGACAGAGTTGCTCAGTAAACCAGTAACTTGCTATTTCTGATAGGTTCTTGGGATCCCCCCACTCCACCCCTCAAGGTTGGTTAATAGGCACATGAAGCCATTCCTAGCTTTTTATGTTGTTTCCGGGGATCCAAAGTGATAGGATCATGAACTTAGGTCCTCATGCTTGTGTTCTTATCCACTGAACCATCTCTCCAATTCCAGTTTTAACAGCGTGTGTGTGTGTGTGTGTGTGTGTGTGTGTGTGTGTGTGTCTTTTCCAGGACGATCTTGAACTCCTAGACACAGTGACTCTGTCTCGGCATCCCATGTGGATGTCACTACAGGTACATGCTACTGCCACTATGACTAGCTTTATATTTTGTTGCCTATTTTGAGACAGGGTCTGATGTAGTCCAGGCTGGCCCTGAACTCATTATGTAACTAAGAATGACCTTGAATTCTTGATCTCCTGCCTCCACCTGGCTAGTTCTGGGGTTACAGGCATGTGTCACCTAGAGCTTCATGAATGCTAGGCAATCGCTCTACCAACTGAGGTATACTCAGTCATTTATATTTTATATTAAGAGAATGTACATGTTTATGTAGGGACACAGATGGCCAATGGGGAAAGAACAGAGGTTCTTTCAGAGGACAAGGTATTGCCATGGCACACAGAAGGCAATTCCTGGAGTATGTTGGAGCTTTGTTCTTTTCCCACCTTCTTCCTTTTGAGATGGGTAATAAGTAACGGGAAAGGTGGCCTAGTGATTAAAAGCACTGTCTGCTCTCCAGAGGACCTGGGTTTGCTTCCCAACATCCACATGGCAGCTCACAACCACTATGTAACTCCAATTCCAGAATATCTAATAACCTCTTCTAGCTTCTGCAGGCATCAGGCACACACATGCACACATACATACATGCAGCCAGAATACCCATGCACATAAAATAAACTTTTAAAATTATTATTATTATTATTATTATTATTATTATTATTATTATTATTATTTTGAGACAGGCTTTCTTTATATAGCCCTGGCTGTCCTGGAACTCACTCTGTAGACCATGATGGCCCGAACTCAGATTCATCTGCCTTTGCCTCTCATGTAAAAATAATAGACTTGCTCAGCTATGTTCATATCAGCATTGTTTGTAATAGCCAAAACCTGGAAGCAACCTAGATGCCCTTCAACTGAAGAATGGATAAATAAATTGTGGCACATATACACAATGGAATACTACTCAGCAGAGAAAAACAATGA